ACATAATGATGATGGCGTCAAAACAATGCTCATTGTTTGTTTTCATGTTGAAGTTTTTTGTTAGTTTTACGATTCTTGTCGTTCTTTGTTAGATTTTTCTTCGAATGTCTCTTCTTTTTTCGGAATGAGTTCCGTGGGGGAATTGAGCTATTTCCGTTGAATTTTGTTCCAGGTTTATTGAGAAAATATTAATTTCGGCATGCGAGGGAGGAGTGTTTGTGCGCGAAAACATGGCGACCTTCCGCAATGAAAAATTTATTATGCGTAAATGTGTATCGGTTCCGAAAAAGAAACGGTTTTTTTTGTTAAACGGAAACTGTTTTACACAAAAGACTCTAATCCCACGGTTCCGGTTAATTGTTTCGAGAACGGATAGTAGGAGGAGAAAGAGTAAAGGAGCGGGGGCGGGGGAAAATCGATTCTCTTAGCAGAACGAAATTTTTTTCTTTTTTTTTTTTTTGTAAATTCGTTCGAATTATTTTTAAAATATCATTTTACATGAAAGAAAACATAATAATAATAATAATAATAATAATAATAATAATAATGATAATAATGACGACGACGTCATCATAAATCGTTTGTTTGTCTATTTTAAAATCTCTTTTTTTTTGTGTTTGTTGAGTTGGTAGAATTTAAAATTAAATTTCGAACATTTTGAAGAAAAAAAAAATTATTATTGGGTTGGCAAATAAATAATTACGAATTTTTTAAGAAAACAAAAAACGATTTATTAATTATGTCAAATTATTTTTATCTATTATATTATGTTTATTATTATTAGTGACCTTTTGACATTTTTCGGGTGGTATCATTTTCCTTTTTTTATACAACTCTTTAGTTTTAGGAGCAAAAAACTGCTCCAATGCAGTTTTGACCTCATTGTCGTTTTGGAATTTTTGTCCGTTTAAAAAATTTTTTAGGAATCGGAAAAAATGATAATTATTTGGAGCTAGTTTGGGACTATATGGAGGGTGCAGCAAAACATTCCAGCCTAGCTCCAGTAGTTTTTGTCCAGTGGCTAAAGATGGGGAGGGCCTGGCATTATGGTGGTGAAAGACAATTCCTTTGCTATTGGCTAGTTCCGGTCGTTTTTCTTGGATGGTATCATTTAAATTTGTCAATTGTCGAATGTAAACCTCTGAATTTATGGTCTGACATCGTGGCAGCAGCTCAAAGTTGACTATGCCTTTGTAATCCCACCAAAATGATAACAATACCTTTTTTTGGTGAATGTCAGTCTTAGAAGTTGTTGGTGCCTGTTTCCTTGCCTAAACCAGGATCTTTTTCTCAAAAAGTCATCATAGACAACCCACTTTTCATCTCCGGTGACCATTCTTTCAAAAAAGAATCATTTGCATTGCGTTTAAGAAGCATATCGCAAAGACAGAGTCGCCTCGTTAACTAACGTTCCCCAAAGTAACGCATCAAGCTTCTTATGGCACCCAAGATGCCGCAGACGGTTTTTGACGCACATATGTGACTCATCTAGCTTTTTTACAATGTACTTAGTCAAACTATGCCGATCATAATCAATGAGGGCGTTTATTTGCTCATCTTTAACCTCCAATTGGCGCCCGGAGCACTCCTCATTTTGCAAAGAAAAATCTCCAGAACGGAATTTCGCAAACCAGTTTTGACACTGCCGTTCTATTAAGGCTTCATTCCCCTACACGACCCACAACTTTTTATTGGCCTGGGAAGCATTAACACTCTTTCAAAAATAAAAAAGTAAAATGTGGAGGAAATGCTCGCTCTGGCTCCCCATGTTTAATTATCTTTTGCTCGCGTACTATTTAAGAGTTCAATGAAATTTTGGTACTGAATGTTACAGAAGGAACCAAGTAATAACATATCAAAAGTTCATGTCTGTACAAAAACGTAAACGTACTCAAAAAAAATAACAAACTATCTGTTGGTAAAATCCGCAGTTACTTATTTGCCAACCCAATATTATTAGTATTATTATTATTATTATTAGTATGTTTTTTTTCAATTAAAGTTGTTGTTAGATTTTCCGGGAAAATTTTTATTTGGAAAAGAAAAAAGAAGAGAAAATTGAGATTTGCATTACTGATCCCTTTAACTTTTGCCAACTTTAAAAAAAAAAAAAAAAAAGTTGGGTTCTTTTGTAGGTGATTTTTAAATTTTAAAAGGAAAATGTTGGGAGGAAGTGGGAAAGAAGTAGGAGGAGGAGGAGGGAAGGTGCGAATGAAAAAGATTTATTTATTATTTATAATTATCGTAAAGACTAAACGCCTACTTTAAAAACAAGATTTTAATTAAATTCTTTAATAATTAAATCAAACGACGAATTCAAAAAAAAAAATGGCCGCGAAGTTTTTCTTTTATTCTGCGACTAAACAATTTCGTATTTGTAGTAAACAAACAGCTGCTGCTGCTGTTGTTGCTTCTCCTCTCTCGAATTTTTGAAATTTATTTTTGTATATATGTATTAAATTAAATCTAGGAAACGTGCAGGGGTGGTGGTGGGAAAGAATCGCAAAACAAACAAAAACAAACAAACAAACACGAAAACCCACGTGGAATTTTTTTTTTCGTATTGAAAATTATTATTATCATCATTATTAAGATTATTATTATTTTCGTATTTAAATTCGCACGTCGTGCGTGCCGCGTTTTTTTTTTCCTACGCGCGGATTTTTCGTTTTGTGACCTTAAATAATAATAATAATAATAATCCATTAGTATGCCTCATCGGTTTCGGCGGTTATTCAAACGAAATGACAAAATGGAGGTTTTCGCCTTTCTTTTTTTCTCCCCCCCTTCTCTCCCCTCCCCTCCCTCCAACTTTGCTTTCAATTTTTGGCATTGGATCATTGATTTTGTCGTAAGGTTACTATCCTGCGAATAATTCGTATCGTTTTTGATTGATCGATGTAATTGCGAGTGGTAAAAAAGTCAAAAACCTTATCATATTGTCCGTTTGTCGTTGTTATTGTTGTTTAAAACCTGAATGTTGCGAAAGGCTCCCCGATATCATCGGCCATGAATGTTCGTTTAACGATTTATTGGTTGGGAGCAAAAAAAGAAAACTAATCGGACGTAGTAGTAACGAGTTTTTAATGTCGGGGTCAAAGCATTTGAACTGATTAAAGTGTAGCTTTTTTTTTTTTCTCTCTCTCTCTCTCTCTCTCTCTCTTCTCCCCATTTTATTAAAAAAAAAATCGTTAGAGAATCGATCGAGAACAAGAGAAACAATATGAAAGACTGACTGACTATAATAACTAACGGCTTTTGATTCGTGCAATTATTATTATTATTATTATTATTATTATTATTAACGAGCTTTCGTTGCAAAATAATTGATTTTATTATTATTATTATTATTATTAAACGTCACGTAGACCGTGAAATCAAGTTTTTTTTTTTTTTTTTTTTAAATAAATCTGCAGGAGAATTATTTCGTGTCAAATTGAATGTTTTTAAAATAACAATACTCGATTCGGTTAAAAAAAAATTAAAACCACGACAAACGATATGATGACGTAGAATCTACGTGGTTTTAAAAAAAATCGTCTGCTGTTGTTGTTGTCGTTGTTGTTACTATTCGTAGTCTTGATCGTGAAATAAATAAATAAGGCGAAAGTACGTACGATCGAAAATAAAAAAAAATTTTTTTTTTTTTTTTTTTTGAGCTTGTCCTTCGACGTGGGAGGATTTTATATATTAAATGGAGATTTTAAACGGGGACCTGGAGACTGGGGACTTGGGGGGAGGGGGAGGGAAGGGGACCAGTTTGCCTTTACAATTTCTTAAATGTTATGTCATCAGGATGTTGAGGTTTTTTTTTTTTTTTTGTGCTGACGCATTGCATTTGTATTTTTTTTTTTTTTTCTCGATACTTTTCCTTTCGCATACCGTTCGATTTTATCTTTCATTATTATTATTATTATTATCAAACGATGTGAAACGAAGGGGAAAAAGAAGAAAATAATAATAATAATAATAATTTTACGGCAAAAAATTTTTAATTTGGTTTTTTTTTTTTCGAAGTCTCTCCATTCCAGAGTGACTTCATTAAACGCCCTCTTATTTTAGTTATTCAAAATCATTATTATCATTATCATTATTATCATTATCATTATTATTATTATTATTATTATTATTATTATTTTAACTTTTGTTATGATTTCACGTTCCACTTTCTAATTTTTTTTTTTCCGTTGATTTGTTTGTTTTCGTTTTTTTGTAATCTTTAGAAGGGAAGGGAAAGAAAGAAAAAAAAATGGAAATTCATTTACTGTTTTGTTTTCCCCCGGGGGGAGGGATAGAGAGAGGGGTATGAAAAGAGGTCAAAGTTTAATTCATCGTTAATTTTTTTGATTAAGCGCCCCTTCCCCCCCCAAAAAAAAAAAAAAAAAGAAAAACATTTTTTTTGTTGACCTTAATCGAATCGGAATTTCCCCCCCCCCCCCTTCCTCCCTTCGAGGTTCGTTTTTTTCGCATTTTCCCCGCACAGTTCAATTAAAACTTTTCTTTTATCGGAACCCGTAATGATGGCTCCAATTTTTTTTTTTTGTAATGTTGGTAGTGGTGGCGGTGGTGGTGATATTACGTGTTTACAAACCGATTTATTTAAGCAATGATTTGCTTTTATTTATTTATTTTTTTTTTTGAAACGTCAAATTACAACCAAATTTAGTTGTTGTTATTATTATTATTATTATCAATAACGTGTGGGAGACAACATTAAACCGTGTTGTTTAAAAGTCTGTAAAAGGAAACGTTTTTTTTGTACATACCGGAACTTGATTTCAGCTTTCTCCTCACAAAAAAAAACCCTAACTGAGTACTTTTCACTCCTACTACCATCATACTTAATAATACCATTTTTTTTTCTCTTTCTTATCTACTTCCTTTATTGTGTCACACCTCTTGTCAGTCTCTGCGTGCTTAACATCGTGTTTTATTATTATTATTATTATTATTACTTTAGTTATTGCCAAACGATTTAGGCAAACAATATATAAAGAAAGAAAGAAAGAAGGCGATAGATAGCGAACGAAAAGAATATAAAATTTCGTGCAAAAAAAAAAAAAAGTTTATTATGTTAAGTTTTGGTTCGTTTGTGAAAACGCGATTTCCGGTTACACGTCATTAAAAAAGAAAAAAAATTATTATTATTATTTAAATTTAAATTTAAATTATTCCAATTAAAGTTTAAAAAAATTTTTTTCTTTTTTATTGCGCATTCATTTTGAAAAAAACAAAAAAGAAAATTGTTTCGAAAAATATTTTTTTAACGAGTTTTTTTCTCTCTCTCTCTCTTTCTCTCTCTCTCTCTCTTTCTCTCTCTCTCTCTCTTTCTCTCTCTCTCTCTCTTTCTCTCTCTCTCTCTCTTTCTCTCTCTCTCTCTTTCTCTCTCTCTTTCTCTCTCTTTCACTCTCAAAGTCGTCGATTAATAATAGAAGAAGAAGAAGAAAAATTTAATTAACGCATTTTTTTTTTTTTTAAATTTTTTTGTAAATTGTTTCAAATTAATTAAAAAGTTTTCGAAACAAAAAAGAAAAAGAAGGAAGGAGGAAGAAGTTGTTGTGGTTGTTTGTTTGTTTGTTTGTTTGTTTGTCGGGGGGGGGGGAAATGAAGTAAAAATAATTTTTTTTTTATTGTCGTAGGTGCCGAAAAGGTACGAATGGAAAATGGGATTTTTTAAATACTCTTATCGAAATATTCGATTCATTTCCTTACCTTTCCCCCCCTCTCCCCCTCTCCACCTTCCCCTCCATTCTCTCTCCCCTCTCCCCCTCTTCCCTTTTTTCAAATAAAAGTAGGAAGTTTTTAGGTATTTAGGTTTTTAGTTTTCGGTTTGTTTCCATATGGAGAAAAACTCGTGGGTTAAAACAAAATCGACTCCCCACATTCGAATTTTTTTTTTTCAGGTACTAATAATAATAATTATTATTATTATCATTTGTTTATTATTTAATAAGGATTTGAAATTTTTGAGGTAGGTCATCATCATCATCATCACACCGGTTTTAACAGGCACACCACCTTCTCTTCCTCTCTTGTAGATTTTTTTTTTTTTTTTATTGCTTTTGTCATTTAAAAATTTGACATTGTCCCAGATGATGACGTAAAATTGCGTGCGTGCGTGTGTGTGTGAGAGAGAGAGAGAGAGAGAGAGAGAGATGAAGTAGAAAAAGTTTTCACCTGTCGGAAAAGTTACATTTTTCTTTTATTATTATTTGTCGTCATCGGTATTTGAGTAATGCGAATTTTTTTTTTTTTTACATTCCTTTAATAACGTTGATTAATTTTTAAATATTTATTTATTATTATTATTATTATGGTCACTCTTAAACACGACAAGGCTCTTATTTGTCGGGGTTGTTAAGCATTTATCCCAGGTCTCTACCCGATTCCTTAGGGACAAATACTCGAATATCGGTGGTGCTATTTATAATATTTAATATTTTATTATTATTATTATTATTATTATTATTATTATTATTATTATTATTATTATTATTATTATTATTATTAGAAAGGCTTACGCAACGTTCTGCCAAACTTTTACTTTCGGAATTATGAATATTATTCCGTATACGGATGGAGGGTGTGAAAATTATATTTGTTTAGAAAGTGATTTTCATCATCATTATCATTATCATTATTAATATTAATAAAATTCATTTGGATTTTGCTTAAAGTGTTTTTGTTTACGTTGCACGAAGGTTTGAACGTAGCCGAAGGGAGGGAAAATTTTTTCGTGCTTGGTTTGTAGCAAAAAAATATTCGCTCGGCAAAACATGTTTTTTTTTCTTTGCCTCAATCAATATTGACGAATAATGAATAATAAAGATTTTTTTTTAAACATGGCGGAACGCATGAAAAAGAAAAATAATAATAATAATAATAAAACAAACAAACAAACAAATAAATAAATGAAAATTATTCTTTAATCGACGTCGTAGGTCGACGATTCGCGGGGAAACGGAGGGGATGGGAGGGGGGAGAAGAGGGGGAAATTTGAAAAAAAATATGGCGGAAAATGCATGATCGCGCGCGTAAATTGGGGGGAGGATGGCGGGGGAAAAATTTGAATTATCGTTTTTAAAATAAATTTTTCAAAAAGTCTCGTCGACGACGATGTATTTTATTACGATGAGTGGTTGTGCGTGTGCGTGTGCGTGTGCGTGTGCGTGTGCGTGTGCGTGCACGAACGTAAGAAAATAAAAAAAATTATTTTTACCTTATTCGTAATTTAAAATTTATATTATCGAGTGAGTATCTTATATAAGACTCCATCCGACATTAATGATAATAATGATAATGATAATAATAATAATGATAATAATAATAATAATAATAATAATAATTCTGTGACCACTTAATCTGAAGTAAGTAAGTAAGTGTTCTTTGTTTTATTTAGCCTGAGGGTTTTCGAAATCAAGGTTGTTGCTGCCGCCCGCCTGTACATTCTAACTAACTTGTCCCCCCCCCTCTCTCTCTCTCTCTTTCACACTTTTGCTAAGAATAGTCTACGAGTTACCAATCGTATAAAAAAAAAAAAAAAAAAAAAAAAAAAAAAAAAACCAATGCGACCTTTAAACAATTTATACATACACATCGACTTATTTTCACTTTTTTCATTATTATTATTATTATTATTATTATTATTATTATTATTATTATTTCGTACCACGAAAGTGAAATGTCGCCCCGGAATGATGTGTCGAACGTTCGCGAAACTTTTTTTCGTTTCGACGACTTGTGGATTTTATTGGGTGCGTTCGTGCGTGCGTGCGTGCGTGAGGGTCCCGAGCTCGTGCTCACGCCTCTAATTTATAAGCTTTTATTTTTGTGTAACATCCGATTGTTGTTTTTGTTGTCGTTAATTTTCTTCTTCCACGTGTTGAGAGCACGAGCGTGAGACTCTACTTCCACGGTTGAGTTAATAAGTTAAAATTTAAACGTTTTTTCTTTTTTTTTTTCATATCTGTTTACGTATATATATTTATCTCAAGTATATTTTATCGAAGTTGAAAAAATTGCAAAAGATTACAAATAATCGGGGGGCCGGGGGGGGGAGAGTGTGTGCGTAAGAGAGAGAGAGAGAGAGAGAGAGGGAGGGAGGGAGGAAGTATATTTCTTTGTTTTTTAAGTAAATTAGTTTCAATTTAAAATGTTTTTTTTTTTTTTTTTTTAAATAATTTGTAAACAAAAGGTATCGTAACGGTTTTTTTCCCTCCTCCTCCACCTCTTCCACGTCTTCTGCTTTTTTTTTTCTTTTTTATTGTTAACTGTTACTTCGTGCCACGAGCGAGAGTCAATGCGAAATTGTGGGAAAAAGTTTTCGGTGCAGTAAAAAATGAAAAAAAAAAAAAAAAAAAAAAAAAAAACACGAAAACGCGATGTGTTCAGACAATGATTGTATCTCTCTCTCCCTCTCTCTGTCTCTCTCTCTCTCTCTCTCTCGGATGATCCAGGAATAGTTTCGAAAGAATTAAGACTCGTTTCATTGACTCGTCCGTGAACCTAGAAAGTTCGTCTTCTTCTTCTTTTTACCGCAAAAGAGGTGCGTGCGCGAGTTTTCGGTCCAAGAATTTTTAAAGTCCATCGGACTGAATGGATTCTGGAGAAAAAAAAAAATTTCCCGCCTTCGTATTCCGTGAGTCTCATTCATTTTAGGTTTTAAAATATCGATAACTAATGATAATAATAATTGTAATGATAATGATGATGAGGATGATGATGATGCGTTTTTAAGAGTCGAATACTTACACGGTTTTTACTTTTTTTTTTTTAATTAAATCTTTTAGTGTAAGATAAGATTTAATCCGTTTAAAGATGACGATATTTATTTATTTATTTATTTATTTATTTATTTAGTCACTCGAATATCTTGAATGATATTTAAATGTTTCATTAATAAATAAATAAATAAATAAATAAATGGGTGGGGGAATTTTGATGGGAAATGGTTGCTGTTGTGTGTAGGGAACTGTCGGTATTTTCGAGCCAACGTTTCCGGTCAATGATTTCCCTATCTCTCTCTCTCTCTCTCTCTTGTAATTTCATCTTTTTCAAAAATGTCTCTTTCCCAATTCTTTTGGAAAATTTTTTTTTTTTCGTACAAAAAACCGTTACGAATCGATTGTGACAGAAAAGAAGAGTAATTATAAACGGATAATTTCACAGAGAATTTCGGAAAAAATTTTGTTTTGTTCAAACGGAAAATTTTTCGCGTGGGTTATTTTTTTTATATATATATATTAAAATGTATTAAAAAAAGAGGGAGGGATCAATAAAAAAACTTTGAAGAGAGAGAGAAAAGGGGGAAGAGAGAGATAGAAAATTGCGGATTTCGTATTGCCGAAAATAACAATTCTGGGAAATGATCGACGATAGATTTTTATTTTTCTTTTTTTCTTTTCGGGGAGGGGATGAGAGGGTAGAAAGGAAGGAAGGAGACGGGGGGATTCTCGTAAAATTGTTGGGATCAAAGTTGAATATAATTTCATTTATTTATATTTTTCAATCGTGTGGCAGGAGAGATTTGAAAGATGAAAAAAAAAAACATTACAAAGTATCAAATTCGTTTTATTATTATTATTATTATTATTATTATTATTATTATTATTTTATTTTTTATTTTTTTGTTCCGAATTTTATAAAATTATCGAATTTCTAACTGTAAAACGATTCCGTTTTAATAATTTTTAGGTACCTTAAAAAAAAAAAAAAAAATGGAGTCCGCATTATAAATAAAAAAATAAAATTTTTTTTCTTGTTGCACATATTTATTATAGAACAGGATGTTATTACCTGATTTATTACGTAAGATTCGGTGGGTGATTCATTTTGATAATAATAATAATAATAAGTATTATTTTAAATAATCTTCTGCTGCCACTGAAAAAATATTTTTCCTAAACGGTTTTATTATAGACTCTTTTTCCTTCGAGTTGTCTCTCTCTTGACATTTGTTTTTTTTTTTTTTTTTTCGAATTGCTGATGTTATTAGCTGTGTGCGAGTGCGTGTGTGCGTGTGCGTGTGCATGCGTTGGGCAATAAGTGAGTGGCCCGAGGGGAGTGTCCCGTTTAAACCGTTTAATAAAAATTTAGATCACGTCTTTTAAGTATAAAAATGCTTGAAAACAAAAGGAGGTCAATGTTTTCTTACCATTATTGTTATTATTATTATTATTATTTATGCGTTTTTTTTTTTTTTTATTTCAGGTGATTTTTCATAGGTTCAGAATGTTTCCAACGAAAATAAGGAAAAAATTTCATTCGTGTATGAACTCTTTTAAATAATTATCAAAAGTGGAGGGGTAAATTCGAAACGATGGGTTCGATGAGCACTCCCTCGACAGGAAAGCATAAAAGACTCGAGTCTATGTATACCATCACGGGACTCTACAGCGAGCAATCCACGACCGAGGATTCCGAAGTGGATTCGGAGCCTCAGGTTGATAAGCTCGGTTTGACCGCAGCAGCCGTTCATCATGTCAAAGGTCACAAGAGAGCGCTGTCAAGCGGAGTCGGCGAAAGTGAGTGCAAACAAAAAAATTTATACATTATTATTATCATTATTATTATTATTATTATTCTGGTTTTCTGGTTGTGATTTCCCAACGGCCACCGATTTTTGTTTTTCGCGTTCGAATCAAAAGAAAAAGGAGTGACCTTAAAAAAAAAAGTTTTTTTTTTTGCATTCGATCTTTGAATCCGCATCCGCTTTGCTATTTTCTCTCTCTCTCTCTCTCTCTCTCTCTCTCTCTCTCTCTCTTCCCCAATGTAAAATTTTACGTACGTTATTACATTCGAATCGAACAAGTTTTGAACTTTGACATTTGCAATATAATATAGTATATATGTCAGGTAGCGATTCGGAAAATGACCTTAAAAGAAAAGAAAAAAGAAAATATTTTGACTTTACGTATGTATGGATTGATGATAAGAAATGCGTGAAAAGTGTGATAAACGCGCGTTATCAGTCGGTACCTTTTAGAAAAAAGTTTCGAAACAATAAACTCGCGACAAATTAAAAAAAAAAAAAAAAAAAAAAGGAAAAAAAGGTCGAAGAGATTTTCCGCTTGACGACTACTTATACTACCATCTCCATTTCGAATTGTTTCTTTTTTCTTTCTTTAAAACATTTATTGATCGACTGATTGATTGATTGATTGATTGATTGGTTGATTGGATATTTGCAAACAGTTTCAAAAAATAAATCCATTATTAGGTTTTTCTTCTTTTCGATTTTGCCCCCGGACTATTATATATTCGTTTGTGGTTTTTTTTTTTTTTTTTTTTTTTTTTTCTATTAAATAATGACGTAAAGGGTTTTTTTTTTTTTTTTTTTTTGGTAGTTGGTAGTAAAAGGAGCAATAGCCTCGTTCGTATTCAGTTGGCAATAGATTTTTATTAATGTTTTTCACGAGCCTTGACGAAATGGATGGTGTATGACTAATACAATTTTTTTTTTTTTTTACTCAATTCAAAACGAGTATTGACCGTGAAACAGTTTTCTTTCTACCAAGTACTCGTTACGTAGGTAAAAGAAAAAGAAAATTTTCTTCGTCGGAAAAGCGGTTCACGTGTGCGTATATGAGAAAAATGAGAGCAGGAATGCGATTTTCGAAAATGGATGGGAAAAGGAACGGGAAAATTTTTTATTTTGTTATCATGGCAATAATTTTTTTTATTTTGCTCTCGTCAAGTTTTGTTTGACATTTCAACGTCCGACTTTTTGCGTCCGCCATTGCAAGCAGAAAGTGGTGGACGGCCGTTGGGCGCAAAATATTGCGCAAAAAAAAAAAAAAAAAAAAAAAAAAATCGCACGTTGATTGAAACCTTGAAGTCGTTGTTGTTTAGGTATGTGCTCGATACATGAGTAAATAAATTTTTATCTTATTTAATTTTATTTCGTTTTTATCGATGTTATTATTATTATTATTATTATTATAAATCGGCAGGTTTCGAAATCGTTGAAATCGGGGGGGGGAGGGGGAAATAATTTTTTGTTGTGTTTTCGATTGCATAGGCGAAAGAAAAGAAAAGAAAACAAAGAAAGGAAAACCTTTCACTTTTGTTTATTCAAATGCGTAATGCATATAATGATGATGATGGTGATGATGATGGCGGTGGTGGTGGTGGTGATGGAGGTGGCGACGGCGTCGTAGAACGACAAGAGAGCGAAGAATCGAAAATAATTTTGTTTGTTTGTTTGTTTGTTTGTTTGTTGGGTTGCATTTGTCTCGTCACAGACGTCATCATCATAATCATCATCATCATCATCATCATCACCGATGTTTCATGTCAGTCTTCTTGTTCTTGTTCTTCTTGTTGTCGTGTGTGAGGACATGTTTCAATCTGTTAATGGATGAAACTCATCGTTCCAGGTTTCGATTCATTTTTCCGCGACATTTAATTCACGTTATTTTATTGTTAAAATTTAATTGTTATCGTCTTCTCCCTCCCCCCTCCTATCTTCTCGTGGGAGGCGAATATGTTCTTATTTTAATATTTTTTTTATTTTTTACATTACAGGGCCGACGAGCGCGTTCGATTTTAAAAATCACAAGAGAACTCTTAGTAATGGAGTTCACGAAGTCAAATCACAAAATTACAAGCTAAACAATACGGATAGTAATAGTAAGGAAAAATGTTTTTTTTGGGGGGGGGGTGGGGTTGGGATGGGGGATTCGATGATTTGTATACGTGCGAACCCATTGTGAATGACACGATGTTTTTTCCAGATGCGGGAACGAGAGGTCACAGTAGAGGGATCTCATTCAGCGATTACAATATAAAAACGCATCACAGGAATTCGAGTTTCACGGATTTTATTCGCACTCATTCCAGGACTCAAAGTTGTAACGATTACGTCATCAAGTGTCATTCGAGGAACCCATCGGGTTGCGGGGCATTCATCACGTAAGTCATCATCATTATTTTTTTTTTTTTTGTGGGGGGGGCGTGTACCTTACCGTTCGGTATTGTTACCACTACTACTACTACTACTACCACTTTTCTTTTTTACGTAACGTCAAAAAAAAAAAATTTTGCGTGTGTGTGTGTGGTGGAACCGTTAGCCTAACTGTAATTGTTTGCTTTAAAAAAAAAAGGAAACCAGATCGAGAACATTTATTATTATTATTATTATTATTTTGAGATTTTGGTAAAATGAATGTTTCGGCGTGCGCGTGCATTCTCAATAAATTTTCTAGAAAAAGAAAAAACTGGTTAATTACGTATTGTTTTCATTTAGAAAGAAAAAATTATTATTATTATTCAGATTGAATTTAAATAATTTAACGGTTCCATGTTTTTTTTGAGAATTTCTTCTCGTTACGCATTTAATTTGAATTTTCTCTCTCTCTCTTCTCTCTCTCTCTCTTCTCTCTCTCTCTCTCTCTCTCTCTCTCTTCTCTCTCTTCTCTCTCTCTCTTCTCTCTCTCTTTCTCTCTCTCTTTTTGATTCGTAAGTGATGCGGTAGTAGTGGAATTGCACGGTTTTTTGTTCCCCCCCCCCCGACTAATTTAGGTCGTTTGTTCTACTATAAAATAAATTATTATTATTATTATTATTATGCATGTAAATCAAGTATGTTTGTTTGTTTGTTAGTTTGTTACGCGCGAAAAAACATCGAGAACGATGATTTTATTATGTTTTTTAATGTTTTTGTTTTCCCCCCTCTCCTCGCAGGGTTGACAGAGGCGAAAAAAATATTGTTACCTACGAACCACCCATAGATGTCCAACAGTTAAAAGATTGCGGGATTCTTTCCTGTCGGCCGTCTTTCCTGCAAAAATATGCCAATATAAAGGTAAATGATTTTTTTATTATTATTATTATTATTATTATTATTAGTATCATCATCGTCGCCGTCGCCGTCGTCATCATTAGTTTGCGAAAACGTCTTTCGTTTCTAAAAAGGTACTACTAGGTTTTTTTTTTTTGTCCGTTGGTACTCGGTGAAGTAATTAATTAATTACCGTAAGAAAACCGTTGATAGACATAATAATAATAATGATAATTACTGTTGCAAAAAAAAAAAATTAATTAATTATGTCATTTAGTTTAAACGGACGTAATTTAAAAAAAAAATAATAATAATAATAATAATTTGGCTTTGACCGACCGACCCAACAACAACAACGTTCATGTAAATTATCTCATAACGGGAAAATGATACTTTTTAAGTTTTGCATGTAGATTTCCCCTCCTCTCCCCCTCGCTCTTCACCCCGCCCCCAAACGCTTCCTTTTACCTCCTACCTACCCCCCAGAAAAGGAATATAATTTTCTTTTGCAATACGAAATTTAATGTCGTCGTCGTCGTCGTCGTCGTCGTCGTCTTCTCCTCATTAAATAATTCACGTATTCGATTTTCTCTCTCTCTCTCTCTCTCTCTCTTTATTTCGATTACGATTAACTCGAACGATCGATCTATCGATCTATCGATTGGTCTATCATAATAAAGAAAAAAAATAATAATTTTTTCTTCAACGAGAAACTAAAAAAAAAAAAAAAAAAAAAAATTCACGGGTCGAAAATGTCATTGATAACACGATAATAATCTAATGATGATGATGATGAGGAGGTCTTTTACGTATCAGGATCGGATGTTTATTGTCAAAAGAATAAGGTAACTAAAATCGTTTGTTGTTTGCGTTTGTTTCAGGTGTTTGTTATGCTCTTGTCATTTTTAGTTAATTTACAACAAGCTCTTAGTTCAGGTTATATAAATTCAGTAATAACTACAATTGAAAAACGCTTTGAAATTCCTTCGTCACTTTCTGGTTTGATAGCCAGTTCGTATGAAATAGGAAATGTTATCACTGTGATATTCGTCAGTTATTTGGGATCAACGCGGCATATTCCAGTGTGGATAGCTATCGGTAACCATTTATTATCCCTTTTGTTTTTTTGCTGTTGCTGCTCCTGCTGCTGCTGCCACTGTTGTTGCATTCATCATTTATAAATTTGAATTTCAGGGGCTGTGATTACGGGTGTGGGCTCAATGATTTTTATGGTACCTCATTTTACCTCGGATTCTTCCTCAAATTTTCTAGTGCATAACGTAACGCAAGATAATATATGCAGAGCCGTGTCTTTAAGGCAAAAGGACATGGATTTGGGAAGACTGACAAACGGTAGGTCCCTCATCCAATTGAAAGAATCCAAAAGGAAAAATTTTTTTTTTTTTTTTTTTTTTTTTAACTTTTCTTTTTTCTTTGTTGTCTCAAAGGTTTGTCATCGCCGCCTTTATCGACTCACGTTCACACGAATTGCATTCAGAGCACTCCGTCGACGTTCGGTCCCGTCATGTTGTTCGTTCTCGCTCAGCTTTTGCTGGGGTGCGGCGGATCTCCACTGTTCACCCTCGGAACGACTTACATAGACGATCACGTTCGAAGTGAATCCGCGAGTTTGTACATCGGTTGCATGTATTCAATGGCTGCATTCGGTCCCGTTTGCGGTTTTCTTCTCGGTGCCTATTTGTTAAGTTTTCACATGGACTCGTTATCGAGTATTCCCATTTTAATCGGTAATTCCTTAATTCGTTTCGAGAATGATTTTAACGTTAATGATACTAATAATAATAATAATAATAATTGTCGATTGTTTTTCTTTCGCTCCACAGCTCCAGACGACACGAGATGGGTCGGAATGTGGTGGGGAGGATTTTTAATATGCGGCGTTTTACTAATAGCCGTATCCATACCATTTTTCGCTTATCCGAAAACATTGCTCAGAGAAAAGGAAAAGATAAGGTTGATGGAAAAATCAAAACCCGATGCGGAATTGAAAGCGAAAGCGAAAAAGACGACGGAAGAAGATACGAAAACGTACGGGAAAGATATCAAAGGTAAATAGGAGGGGAGGTGGAGGAGGAGGAGGGAGAATGGTTTTTAAAAGATTGATATGAAAAATTTTTCTTTTTTTTTTTTTTTTTTTTTTTTTTTTTTGGGGGGGAATTTTAGACATTCCGGTTTCGATGTGGAGACTCGTGAGTAATCCAGTGTACATAATAACTTGTTTAGGAGCCTGCATGGAATTAATAATAGTTTCGGGTTTCATCGTGTTCTTACCGAAATATCTCGAAACTCAATTTAGTTTGGGTAAAAGTCAAGCAAGCGTTTTCACGGGTAATTATAAAAAATAAATAAATAAATTTATAAATAATTGTTTTCATGTCGAAATGAAATTTAGGAATAAAATTTTCTTTTGGTTTCTTTCAGGTTCCATCGCGATACCCGGAGCGTGCATCGGTATTTTCATGGGCGGTTTCCTTCTCAAACGTCTCGAATTGAAACCGAAGGGAGCAGTGCAATTTGTTTTGATCTCGAACACAATATGTCTCGCCTGTTACGGATTGTTGTTTTTTTTGGGGTGCGACAACGTCAAAATGGCCGGCACGACGATTCCGTATTTCAACAGGTAAGACCACGACAGGACGACGACAGCAACAATTGTAATTCGGATTTAAAAATAACCGTTATTATCATCGTTTCAGCACATCGACCAAAGTGGAACCTTTTCGCGTCAACTTGACGGCGTCGTGTAATTTCGGTTGCGATTGCGCAACTTCCGACGTGGAACCAGTTTGCGGTAATAACGGTTTGACGTATTTCAGTCCTTGCCACGCCGGATGCACCGCATTCTCTAGTCGTAATAATTATTTCAATTGTACATGTGAGTTGTTTTATTCGTGTCGTACCGTGTCGTACCTCTCGCGCACATCCACACTCTTTAAATGATTTTTTTTTTTTTTTGTTTAAGGCATTCACGGTAACCTGTCGAAAGAAGATGAATATGCCGAAGTGACCGTCGTGCCCGTGGCGACGGCGGGCCCTTGTACATCGCCTTGCAAAACAATATATCCTTTTTTAATATTATTATTTTTCATGACTTTTATGGTGGCGACGACGCAGATGCCACTTCTCATGATCGTTTTAAGGTACGTAAGGTTCTTTTGTACTGTTTGCGAGGATACTTTCGAAAAAATACGTATTCACCTTTCTTTCCGATGCAGGTCAGTTGACGAGGAGGAACGTTCGTTTGCACTCGGAATGCAATTCGTCATATTTAGACTTTTCGGTTACATACCGGCACCGATTTTATTCGGAAATCTAATCGATTCGACTTGTTTGTTTTGGAAGAGCACGTGCGGGGAAAGCGGGGGAAGATGTCTCCTATACGACATTGAATTGTTTCGTTACAAGTAAGAAAGAGAGAGATAGATGGAGAGAGTTTATAACGACAAGTTTATTATTATTATCATTTGTTCGTTTTCAGGTACGTCGGATTGTGTGCCGGAATAAAAATTTTAGCATTATCGTTATTCCTATTGGATTGGTGGCTCGTTCGTCGACAGTTGGACACTCCCAACACTCCTCCGTTGAATATAAATGACGTCATGGGTTCGATCATTAGCATAGATAAACGTAAGTTAAACATTGTCAAATTTAAAAGGAGAGAGAGAGAGAGTGATTGATTGATTGATTGTTTTTTTTCTCCCCCCCCCAAAAAAAAATAGTTTTTGAAGAAAAGCCAAACGAGGGTTCGAAAAAAAGCAATCCGGTGTCTAGGAGCAGTTCGGAAAGGGTCAAACCTCAAAATACATTAAATTACGGTGACGAACCGACGACGTCGAACATCGAAGACGGTACTCAAAATTACGGTTACGTTTGTCATTCCATAAAGGACAGCGACATTGTCGAAGAAAGTTTGGAAAATTTAAACAACTCGTCGAAAGATGGAGATTATTTATCCGAGGACGATGGATTCAGTCGTCACATGATGATGATGATGAATAGAAAAATATCGACGATGACGGGAGAAAACGATGAGAACAACAGGAAGAGAAAGAACAACAACAACAACAACAACATGGATGATGATGTAAATATAATCAAAACGACCGGAAATCAAATCGAATTGGCGGATATACAAACGTGAAAAATAATCGAAAGGAAGGAAGGAAGGATCGGGAGAGAGAGAGGGAAAGCAAAAAGGAAAAAATTATTATTATTATTTCAAATAAATTTGTTAAAATCCTGTTGTTTTTTTTTTTTTTTTGTATAATTATTTTCTTGTTGTAATTTTCAAATGAATATTTTTTTAGAAAAAGAAATTATTCCGCCGCGTTTTTGATTGCAATCAATGAAACAAAATTATCGTGTCACGTGACATCACGTTATAAATAAATAAATAAATAAAAAATTTATTTTTTAATAAAATATCGGATTATAGCCATAGTAAACAAAATAATAATAATAATAATAATATTTTAAAATTTGTATTTGTTGTGCATATGTAAATAAATTGTAAAAGGGCGCAAAACGCAGGCACGTGCGCACGTACGCACGCACGCACGCACGTGTTATACGAGAATATTCTAGAAAAAGAAACAAATGAAAAGCCATATTTTATATGTATATACGTAAGCAAGTGTGTGAGTGGGGGCGTGCGTGCGTGAGTGCGTGCGAGCGAACGTTAAAAACAATAAAAATGGTAAGAAAGAAATGGAAAAGCATAAAAATTATTATTATTATTATTATTTTAATAAGATGTTGTTTTATTTTTTTTTTTAAATAAAAAGGTTTATATAACGAGTTTTAAATAACTTACAAAATAAATAAATAAATAAATAGTTAATAATTAAATTAATAATTAATAATAATAATAATAATAATAAAATGAAAAACAACAAAATAAAAAAAAATTGTTGTTATTATTATTATTATTATTATTATTTAAAGGGACGAAGTGACTTATTTTTTAAGCTCATTATTCAATTAATAAATACATAAATATATATATATATAGATATATATATTTTTTCATATTATTAAAATTTAAAATATATTAATAAATAAATAAATGAGAATGGTACTTAATAAATAATTTAAATAAAAATTAATTATTAATAATAAATTAATAATTAATAATGATAACAAATAAAAAATAATGAAAATGAAACAAAGTCAATATTATTATTATTATTATTATTATTACTATTACTATTATTATTACTATTATTATTACTATTATTATTATTATTAAAGTTTTAAATTTATAAAAAATGGAGAGAGAAAAAAATAATCAATAATCAATCAATAATAACGGTTTTTAAAAAGAAAAGCCTTCAAATAAATAAATAAATAAATAAAAAACGTGGAAGAAGACTAAAGAGAGAGAGAGAGAAAGAAAGTAAAAAGATTGATTGGAGGCTTTATTAAATGGTGACATAAATAAATAAATAAATAAATAAATTTCGAGTCAATTATTAATCATAATAATAATAATAATAAATAATGTTTTATTTAAATGATTTCAAAGAAAAAAAAAAAACAAAAAGAAATTATATATTTATATACATATATAACTCTGTTAATAATAATAATAATAATGATAATGATGATAGTTATTATTATTATCATTATTTTATTTTTTTAAGAAAAAAAAAAAAAGAAGAAAAAATTAAATAATTTTTTTTTTTTTTTTTACTACAATACTGTGAATTTTGTAATAATTTGTCAATAATAATAATAATAATACTAATGGCGATTATCATGTTGATGATGATGATAATGATAATCGTGTTTTAAAAAGAAAAGAGAGAGAGAGAGAGAAAGCCATTTGAACAAGCTCAAAAAAAAAAAAAAATTTTTTTTGTTTCTAGTCTTTATATGTTTTCGTTAATATTTTTTTTCTCCCCCTCCCTCCCCACTCCCCCTCACGTTATAAATAAATCGGAAATTTATTGTTTTATTATTATTATTATTATTATTATTATTGTGTTTCAAAACATTTTTTTTTTTTCGTATCGTTGTAAAGTTGAGTTTAAAATGGCGTCGAAACATTTTGTACGATATGTTTGTTATTATTATTTAATTTTTTTTTTCTCGCATGTTTTCGTTTCGAAAAGTTAATAATTATTATTAAAAAAAAAAAATAATAATTTTATTTGTTATCGTTAAAAAACTTTTTTTTTTTTTTAAAACGTAACAATTTATTTTTTTATTATTTTATTATAAATTTAAAAAAAAAATTTGAAATTGAAATTTTTCCGTTAAATCGAACGTTTTCAATTCAATTCTATTAAATGCCGATAGGTGTCACGTAAATCGCGTCGACATCTCGTTTTAATTTTTATTTCATTTTAATGTTCATTCGTAACCGTTAAAAATTTGAATTGTGTTCGGTTTTTGAATTTTTGGTTTTTAATTTTTAAAATTTATTATAATTATAATTTTTTTTTTAAATCTTTTAAAATTAATTATTTTGTTTCTGTTTCTAATTCTGTTTTTTTTAATTGAATTGTAATTAATAATTGCTAAAAAAAAAAAAAAGTAAAAATAAAAAAATTTTATTGTTTTCGTTTTAAATTTTATGTTATAATTTTAAAATGTTAAATAATAATAATAATGGTGGTGTTGGTAAAAGAAGAAAAGTATTGAACAATCGTGATAATTGTCTTCAATTGGAAACAAAAAAATTAATTATTAAAACGTAAAAATATTTGTCTGCGAGAGAATTTTATATTCATCTTATTTCAGATAAAAGGTAATACATTATTTTATTTAAAATTAAAACGTGACGTAAGTCACGTGATCCAAGATTCGTGATTATTACGTCACAATGTCCTCTTGATATTATTAGATTTTTTTTTTTTTTGAAAAAAATTTTTTTATTAACAAATAATTTTCATTTAAAAAAATATTTTTAATCGGGTTTTCCCTCATACAATTATTATTATTATTATTATCAATGTCGGTATTTATTTGTTTAAATTTGATAATAATAATAATAAATTCGTTAGATAAAAATCATTTTAAAAAAAAATTCGCACGATTATCGTAACGGTTTTTTTTTTTTTTTTTTTTTTTTTTACACCCATAACGATAATTTGAAATTGAAAAAAATTTATTAGATATTTCGTATTATTATTATTATTATCATTATTATTATTATTATTAATTTTGTTAGTTATTTGAAATCATAATTAATTACACAACCGGGTGTCCTTGTTGTTATTATTATAAGTTTCCTGTTGATTTGTCGATTTTTTTTTTTTTTTTTTGAAAGCTATATTTTTTAATTTATTTATGATTTTTCTATAAATCTTTATTGATACGACAAGGTTTTAATTATTTATATTACAAATCATTCGACATTTTTTTTTTTTTTTTTAAATTTAAAATAAAATTCAAACAGGTGGTGGTGATGATGGTCGTGGTGAGTAACGTTCGAAATAACAAAAAAACGAAATTTTTCTATTATTATTTTATATTTATTTAATTATTTCTATTTAATTTATTAATTTTCTAATCGATAATAAATAAATTAATTAATAATAATAACCATTATATCGTTAACGTTATAATATAACGCGTGAGAGAGAGAGAGAGAGAGAGAGAGAAAGAACTGACAGAATTTAATCGTAAGCTAAACATGTAAATGAAAATAAAAAAATGTCGTAGAGTAAAAATTACCGCGCCGCGTGAAGAACGCTTTTGAAATAAAAATTTAAGTTGGCACTATTGAATTAAATCGGGGAAAAAATCAACGGCCGCATAAAAAAAATTTGCCGAGTAGAAAGAAACAAAATAATACAAATATATATATTTATTATATATTTAAATAAAAAAAAAAAGTGCTTTGTTTTTTATTTTTATTTTTTTTTCTTTCTTTCTTCTTCTTTTTAATTATTATTATTATTATTATCATATTTACTAAACTAAACGTTTAAAAAAAAAAAAAAATTATAATTAAATTTTCACACATTTTTCAATTATGTGTATTAATTTATATTTTATTAAATCAATGTTAATTTTTTATTTATTTATTTATTTCAAATTATAAAAACGTAAAAATATTTAAATAAAATAAAGTTTGTGTGCATCGCGTAAGGAAATAATAATAATAATAATAAATAAACAACGAAAAAGAAAAAAAAAAGGGGGAATTATCGTTAGTGGTAAGTGTACCGTTTACATTAATAATTATTATTATTATTAAATAATTTATTAACGATTATTATTTAATAAATTTAATAAATTATAATATTTACAAATGTCTCCTCTTAGTAAAAAAAAAAAAAAAAAAAAAAAAATTAATTAATTTACGATTCTTTATTTACAACCGGTTAATAACAAAATAATAATAATAATAATAATAATAATAACAAATTTTATTTATTTAATTTTGTTTTTAATTAATAATATATGTTATGTAATAACATGTAGAAAAATGTGGTACAAATTTTAAATAGTAAATTATTATTATTATTATTATTATTATTTACCTTGAAACTTTCTTTTAATTAAAATGCATGTCTTGCTTAATTATTATTATTATTAAAAAAAACTTGAAATTAATAATAATGATAATAATAATAAGTGATTTCAATTTGTTTTTTTTTTTTTTTTAAATTTAAAAATCATGTGTTATAATACAATTATCATCATCATCAATGTCTTATTGCAATGTTGCAATTTTTCTTAAAATAATAATATTCATTCTTGGTCACACACACACACACACAATCGTTTATTGAAATTATTATTATTATTATTATTATTATTAATTTTGTCGACTAAGAATTATTTTGTGTTTGATTTTTTTTTTTTTTTTAAAAGAATTTATTTATTTATTTTAATCTAATCATCATCATCATCATCATCAAAAAAAAAAAAAAAAAGAATTTGAATGTATGTTCGTTTGATAACGACGACGACGACGACAACGACGACAACGACGACCCTCGAAAAAAGTTTTCTATGGCGTCATATTGACGTCATCGATGATTGCTTTCGAGAAGAAAAACGCTCGGGGGTAGTGTAAATTGTTTGATTTCGTCATAAGTTAAGCATAAGCCTTACGCTTTACTCGTATGAAAGTAGTACGTGGTAGAGTGGTTGAGTTCACGAAGGCTGATAAGTGGCATTGAATGT